GGTTATTTATCGCTAAATAATTGTGTAATCCCCACACGATTAGTCCCGATAAGAGGCTGCATCTCGTCTAAAAACAACGAGAGGCAATCATTTATTCCTTATAATTTTATTTAATAGAATCAAGACCTCAACAACCTGAGCACACTATCTTGAAGTTCAAAACAACATCTATAATAACAAGTAAATTGAATCTTATGTAGCTAAAAATAAAGTTGATTTTGGACCATCATAATATTATTAATATGAGAGTTAATTTACATTTAATACGCCAAGAGGAGACACGCGGAATACATGTATAGATAGTGGTTCCCAGTAAGTTCGTGGTAAATAAGTTTCTGAGATTCACTGTAACCGGTAAGGTATACTGACTTGGTTGATATCAAATTGTATGGATAGAATAAGCTACGTAATATATGTATTTAAAATAGTATTGAATATAATATAATAATATTATCAAGATACATTAAAAATTACTAAATATAAGGATTTTTAGCAATAGTAACATTTAATTATCTCATGAGAATTGTTGAAGATTTTTAGGTATTATTTTATTAAAAAACTAACGTAGCTCTAAGATGATTCTTGTTTAGATAATAATAGACTTTAAAGACATCAAAAATATCTAAAATAAAAAAAGAAATAAACGTGAAATGTAAAGTGCGATCAAAAAAAAATACTATATCAATAAATACGGTTATTAATTATACCTACCTATAGGTATTATAAACAGTTTTCCTTAACAATCTGTTATCTCTTAGAGTTTATAAATTTGTAAAATGTTATTATTATTAGTAAAGGTAATTTTAAAATACGTCTCAATCTAAAGTAGACTGAAGAACAGCTGTCGTCATCATCATGACACTCTGAAAAGGTTTAACCTTAAAGTCATCATATTGAATCAGCTTTAGAAGGTTTAATATGATTCTGGAAAAAAATAAGCCCCAGGATTCATTACTACGTAGTTCTGGATATATGAACCATTTTTATTTTCATTACAGACAGCCTATTGTTTTTATTTCTTTCTTTGTGTTAAAGAATATATGTAAAACTATTAATAACCTCTGCCTGAATATAATAATAAAGAAAGAGGTGTGACAATTATTAAAAAATGTCCGAAAGATACAAAGATAAGATGTCAAAAGATAACCAGCACCTCCTGTAAATATCTCACCAGACAGGAAAGTATAGGTACGTTTGATTTCGGAAATATTTGGTAAATCATGAAATTTATTTGACTTTTAATTATGTAATAATGATAGGAAGAATTAATTTTAATTATAGTATTATACTTTTATAAACAATATTATTATCAACATTTTTTGTGAAAACATAACGTATAATTTTTTTCAAGATTTTAATAATTAATTTGTTAGCCAATCAATAATCGCGGACGAATTTGAAGTTATAGAATATTTTTGTGGCAGACCTCGGTATTGAAAACCGCTAAATGTAGACCCTTCGTACATAACAAAAACTTTTTAGAAACCTTATGAGACCTCAATGTTATAAAGACATAATATATTTAATACTACAATACTCACTTCTGTTAGAGTATGAACAATATTCTCAAGTAATTGGCATTTAGGTATACTTACTTATAGAAATTTAGGAATCTCGTTTGGATTAAGGAATACCAGTAAGTAGGATTTATGATAATTACGTCTTATTAATGTTTTGTAACAACGTGAACATTTTTCCTTTTCTTTTAAGTTATAAAACTAATTACATATACATATGTATATAAGTATATTCGTGTGTCGAGTGTTTTCATCAAGATCCTAGTTCCATCAATAGGTTCCATCAAACAAAAATCGCAGGTTCAATATCTACCTACTCCTATACATTAATTATTATATATTTTATAATTAATATCAACTATACTCAATGATTTCATTATAATTATACTGTCCAACTATAAACATTTCTTACAACTAATTTCAACATAATCCACACACATCCCCCGCGCCGTTCGAGCGCCCCCTGCCGGCAGACGCTCGCGGACCAGCTAATAAAATGCTAATTTCAAACTAAACTCCTCAGATTAAACTGTTTTGAGACACGAGTCTTATTTCTTGTAAGTAATTCCGGTTCTATGAACGGTTAGTAAACACTAAAGGAAATAAACATACTTACGTTCAGAAATACAGATGTGGTTTAAATTTATTACGTTAAGATAATTACGTTTAGAAATAACTTGGAACATTAAAATGATGTTTTAAATTCATTTCATGTGTAATATATATTTATTAGTAATGTTATTTATTTTAAATTTAATTCATTAAGGATGAAATCAATATTTTGATTTATTTTGTGTTTTGCGTTCTTTAAAGGGGAATACTTATATCTTAAATCTCTTGTTATTTTTAATGGTACTATTTCTGTTATATATGTATATATATTTAGGTTTATTTAAGTAACGAGCAACTAATTGAATACGGTAAGAAACGATCTCATAAATTCTCGTGATGGTTTTCATCTGAGCCGGTGGCGCTGTGCGGTGAAAGTCGGAACTAAAAACAACCCCTTTCACTAAGTGCTGCCACCCCTAGAGGGAAAATGAAGTCAAAACAACCCTTAGATAACAAAAAGTTCCGCTATTCACTGCTAGATGGCGCATCTCCGAGACGTCCCGAAGCATCCGCTCAGGGTTTCGCATGTGTGCGTGTGCGAGCGAGAAAGCGATCGAAAAATAAAAAAGGAGTAAAATAGACGGCAATACGTGTATACAAAGGCGTGGTTACGTGCATGCGAAACGTTTTTTTTATCGCAGAAATGGCCGGAACTTTACACTTCGCATTGTGTACAGTAAAGCCGTAACAACACACTCGACATCCGTTTATGAGTTTTATTATAACTAGTTAAGGTCGAAATTTGAACTTCATTTTTTTTGGATATACGTTAAAACGTTGAAAACACTGCAAAATAATTGGCGTCACCCGCGTCGCGACGTCTCTAGAGGGAGAAAGTATAACGCATCCAGTTATATGATGGAACAGTATGACGGCGGACCGTTACACGGCGAGAGGGACGGAGGATGGGAGGATTAGTGCGTGCGAGAGGGACGGCGATAAAAAATATATCAAGAAAAAAAGGCATTTTCACAAAAGGTGCGCGTTCGGACGGCATTACGGAAACATGGGCGCGGTTTAAAAAACGCCGGGGGCGCCTGCGCCCTTACAGAAGAACGGCGTTGAAGTCGAGTTGAAAAGAGACGCTGTTAGTAACATCAGGTGATGTGACGCGGACGACACGACGCCATGAGCCCGCGGCGGCGACATAAACAATAACATATTCAAATAATATAACTGTGACATAGAGTGTACACGAGCGAGTTATCTGTTAATAGTGTTGTGAAACTTTGTACTATACGTTACGGTGGAAGACTCAAGGTAAATAATAGTTCGGTAAAAGTTTTCCTACTTAGAAAGTACTTTTATAAATGACGTTGAAAATATTAAGATTTAAAATACATTTCAACACATCATCTGTTTCATGTAGATTCGTGTTATTAAAACCGTTTTGTAATTTATAAATAAATATTAATAAATTAATCCTATTGGAATACAATATCTTACATATAATTTATTTTGGGACCAAGTCTTTGGGCCAGCTTTCAAATCAAATTATAAAAACGAAAGTGTAAAATAATTGACACCCAAACAATACCAACATAGGTATGAAATAAAAATAATATTAAAACAAACGTCAATATGTTTTGCATTCAAAACATCATGTTAGGCCTAAGCCACATACAATTAAAATAATTGCAAATCAAACATCACAAAACTTTAATTTTGCTCTTTTTTCTCATTTAATGTATAACTTCTTTATTTAATAAAACATCCAAAACTTCACAATTAAATTGTTCGTATAAGATTAAACAGCACATGTTATATTACATAATAAAAAACCATAAATCTAAATTCCTCTATGTATCAAAATTAAGTTGCAAGAATGTCTTGTAAAATCGTATATTATTTTGCAATAATTTATAAAACTTATTCGTTACTCCATAAATATCTCGGATAGTATTAAAAAATCCGTGTATTGGATACAAACATTTTAAAACGTTACTGGAATATTATGTACCTATATATTTATATATTTCTGTCACATGAGTCATATCAATGTCTGTATAATTTGTATTAAACGAAAAAATACCTCAAACAGTTATAATAATAAGTGGCTGTATAATTTAAACCGAATAAAAAAGACACTGGCCACATATTGTTTAATATTGTATTATCTGCATTGTAGTAGGTATGTATATGTGTAGTAATATTTGAATTTCGAACGTGCTTGTGGGTGTAACGTCTCAACCTTCGCCTTCATATTTTACTCATCACAATAACAATTTGAAAACATACGACACCAAAGGTCTTTACACTCCAGTCCTCAATAACGTGGAGGCCATTCGCCCCTCATACATCTGTGCATTTTATACATGATATTTTTATATATATAATTATTTATTTTAAACGTTTTCGTTATAAAATATTAACTATCTGAATATTAATAGGCCATTGATTCATGTTTGATATATTGTTATTGCTTTTTCTATGAACGTAATTTATATTTAAATCAACCTACTTCGGAACTCGATTGTTAAGTTCCAACCAGATACTTGTAAAACGTTTCGACTCGACATATTTGTTGTAAGATGACCAATAAATTAAACCTCAACGTATAGGCTAATAATCTATCGCTTTCTACTATATTTTTTTAATGTGATTCTCATACTCGCTTATAATTTAATTTCAATATAGATGTTATAGTCTTGTTTATTAATATTTCAAGACACGGCACTTCTCATACGCACTTTGACACTACCGCACTATTGCGGAGCGTTCAACACATATGCTTCACGCGACTCAACTAGCTATGTTGCCGTCCTGTACTAGCTCATAGCGAAAATTGTCCTTCTCACTCCCACGCGGCCTGTCGTTCGTATACCTAACGCATAGAAGCTAGTTTGGCGTGTAGTATTCAAAATAGGAACGTTAGTAATGAGAGGTATGGGACGGTGTGTATGTGTGTGCGTGAGGTGACCCCCTCCCCCGCCCTCCCGCCTGTCGGTCCCCCCGGTCGCCCCCGCGCTCGCCGTACTCCGTGTCGCCCGTTGTCCCCCCGCGCCCCCCGTCTTCCCGTCTCCTCCCCCCTCCGCCCGCGCTCGACGCCAACGGAGCGGCGAGCGAGTGGCGCGCGTTTACACAATCCGTTGGTTTGGCGCGGGTGATGCTCGTGTTGCAGCGCCTCCTAGTAACTACAAACGACGCGCGAACATGTATCATCATTTATTTTTTTGTTAACTCGTATCCTGTACGTTGGCGACTTAGATACTAATTGGAAATAGTAGATTTATTATGATGCTACTTTACAAATAACGTGCAGCCGGATAGTGAATGTGTCGCATGCTATATGCGATATTTTTTTCCGTCGCTGACATATCAAAACTGACAAAAATTCTTTTTTTTTTTCAAATCCATTTTTTTTATTATATGATATGATACGAGGAAAGTGACTGATAGTGCAAAAGTGCTGAATATTCTAAAAATATCATGGCACTGTTCTGCAGTGCTAAGGATCGTTCGAAAAAATATATACTTGTATTTAAATACAGAAGATTGAAGAATAAGAACATTACTTATGCCTCGGTAAGTTATAAAAAAGTGCTAAGTGTTAGTGTGTAATTCCCGCCAGTCGAAAAGTCACTGTAACTGAATAATTGTTATTTATTAAGTATTTAAATATATTCTAACACTGAAATAATTGTATTCAGTCAATTCTTATCAGCCCACTTAGCAACAGTAATTTTGCTGATAAAAAACAGCCGCATATTTTTTATCTTGTTGCCACGATTATTTAAACTCGAGCCCTTATCGGACGAAAATATCAAAAACTAAATACAAATGTACTTATGTTAAAATATGTTGTTGAAAATTAAATTTATGTCGAAAAAAATACATAAACTTAAAGTTTAAAAATAGTTAAAAGTTATACTCACATTTTTGTTGTCTTTACAATATTGTTTTAATATCTAAATCCGTTTATTTAAGGTCTAACGCATATAAACGCAATGAAACGAAAAAGAAGTTGAGAATTCAAACTTAGAAAATAAAAAAAATATATTGCTAAATTATTTTGGATTAAATGAGTTATAAAAAATAAAACGAAATAAATTAAAAATCGTAAGGATTTTACTTCTCATAACGAAACTTCATTCGACATAAAATAATGAGTTTAAATTCGTATTAGAACTTAGAAAATTTTGTTGGTGCAATAACAATATTTAGTTGAAACTTGAAAGTAATATCGGATTAAAATGTATTTATACTCCATGGTTATTATTAAAACTTTCTTTTAATTACAAATTATTAATTAGTTATAATAAAATTCTATAAAAATAACACCTGTGATATAAATCAGTACAAACGCTTGCCTAAGGCGACAAGATGGATGACTCGAGACTCGGTTCAATTTCGAATCACTAATTATTATTTATGGTTAAACTCTAATAATGTTTTTTAATTAAAACTATACAAACTAGTATAGAAACTGGAATCGACATTAATTTTTATATGTATAGGGCATTTTCTTTTCGTATGGTAGTGGGTGTAAGTGACACATCCAGTCGTTTACCCTCGATTCAGAAATCGATTTTATTTTAGAAGCTTCCAGAAATATCTTGCATTTAAATGCATAATTACATTGTCGTTGGCTTCTGAGACATATGTATTTTATTTGCCAGATATATTCAAAATACATAATATATTTGGTAGTTATATTATTAATAACTTTTTTTTATATACAAATATTTATCTGTATATGTAGTTATATTTCAACGTATAATTTTATCTCTAAATACAATGACCTTATGTCATTGTTAGTCCTAAATTTTTTTGTATTGCGGATTTCATGCTTTTTGTTCGGTCTTTGTTATTTTATTTGCTTTGTATGAATTTCGTTTTTAGTTTTGAAATTTTATTTAATAGAAATTTAATGTGATAAACAGTTTTTATAAATATAGTTTATGCAATACTTTTGAGTTAAAAATTTTAATATAGGTACCTTCTAAAAATCTTGCTTACTTGATTATTGACAGTGACTCAAAAATTACTAAAACAATATGGGATAGTATAATCTTATTCATATACTTATGGGAATATTATAATAAAATTAACGAACACGCGAACGCAGCCGCGGTTAAAGCTTATACGTAATACACAAACAAAAATATCTCGAAAGACTTTAGCTGATTTTATCTCTGAAGCAAAATTGATTCTTCAAGCATGAGTAAATATACTATAATTATAAAGAAAATTAACCAACAAATTGATTGTTTACAGTATAAAGATTAAACTGGCGATACGTCATGATATTTTAATTCAATTAAAAAAAAATACCCGTTCGTACTTTATACCAATTAATCGATAACTCGCCGTCTTCATGAAATATATTAAATAATTATTTTATTATATGAAATATGGCAGTAATAAATGTTTTATTTTATAACAATTAGTTATTTTGCTTCTGGTATATATTTCATTTGTATTATACCAGTTACATTTTAAATGGTCACTTGTCATTAATGACAATGACATCTTGAATTTTTGTGGCATTAATTTGTCAGTTTGACAAGTTTTCGTAAGATATTTTTTCGTACAGATTATAATTTTAATATATAAAGGTTAAAGCTTTTAACTATACCGTAGCTATCAGTGGGAGTGTATGTTACAAATTTTCTATCTTCAATTATATTTAAATGCTTATAATTTATGAAAATTACACATAATAATTTGATTGTTACGCAACGTCTGTGACCGTTTCGATTAAATCTGACACGGAGATTGATTTGACTTAGAGAAAGATTAGTTATATTTTGATTTAAAAGAAATTGCTATAGTGAAGCTGTCGGCTGTCTGTGTGTGTGTGTGTGTGTGTGTGTGTGTGTGTGTGTGTGTGTGTGTGTGTGTGTGTGTGTGTGTGTGTGTGTGTGTGTTTGTTTGTTATATATATATTCGTTATGTTATCGCCAGTATGTTTGTTACTACGTGTGAGTCACGCGGTCACGGCCCCAAATAGATCGCGCCTCCGTAAACACTTGCCACATTGTATTGGTTCGGTTGCTATTTGCTAGCAATGGTTATTGCTATCATTAATGTTTCGTTAAAACATCTTATGTATCGATATTAACATTAAAGAGAAACTTTGAAAATTAATTTATTATATTTATATTAAAATTATCATATAAAATTTTGTCAGTATTTTCGATCGCTCGATTCTTCATACGACGCCATATTCTTTAGTATATTTAAATTCATAATATTATATAAGTATATATTAATTTTATTTAAAATACTATAACGTATATTTCACACAATAGTTTATTTAAATTTTATATACATATCATATATATTTTTTCCTCGTGCCATTTTTTTTTCTTGAATGTCAAGGCTGGCTATGACACAACATAATTTTGGCGTCTAATGAGTTATATTCATGATTTAAATTTAAAGATGGTATGAATTATTAAATTTAATATTTTTTTGAACTAAATTTAATTCAAAGTATGGCCGTTTAGTCTTATTCGCAAACTATATTTAATTGTAATGTTTTTGATATTATATCGTTGCATAATGACACAAACACACATACATCATGCGTAATGCGTAAATACAACTATAAATATCACGGTTAGCGTCAAACATACAATAGTTAACAGAACAAGTCACAATTAAGACGATACTCGTGTCCTTACATATTCGAAGCCCATTTTTTAACTGTTATATTTAACTGTCAAAACATGTAACCATAAAGTAACAGACAATTCATTACTCTCAACATAATAATAGACGGCACAAAAAAAACTATTAAAACCCATTGTGGTACCGCGCTCTTGTAACTTTGAGAGCTTTCTTGATATATATTTTTTTTTATTTAATATAATTGCTTAGAGTTTTTCTGATTTATAAGTGTCCATTGTTCTTGCACAATAAAGCGTAATTTAATTTTTATATTTTGTGATTTATTTCCATTATATCAATTAATCTCTGTAATGATTGGATACATCGGATCGGGAGATGCATTATTAATAAATCGATGCGATATATCATTCCATGTTTGAACGAAAATATTCTTTGTATTTTCGCAACGCCTGCGGTAAGTTCCAAATTCGATGATTTATAGATATATCTTAAGATGTATCACAGGATGTATTGTGTTATTTTTGCGGCTTACGTGTCAGTAATTCGATCCTGTAACAAGTGGCGAGCTTCATGAATGCTTTCCTAAATTAATTCAAATTTGCATCGCATTTCGCGAGCCCGGGACGCAACGTGATATTTTAATTTTTGATAAAACATTGCAGTTTAAGTCGTGCACGGTGTCAAATGTCGTTGTATGGCTTCCAAAAAAAAGGGTATCGGTTTCACGAGCTGTTTCACTCTTAATTGGCAATACGTTTTAAATTAGCCCTGACTATATCGTCAAAAATATTATATAATCTTTGTCTGAGTTAATTGGAGAGGAAAAGTTAGACCACCGATGATTCGAACTTCGGTAGACTTTATAAATTTCAAACTTGTTATATTTAATCAATGTTCTACTAAATTAATTCGCAAGCAATGACACTCGTCTGTAATTTCGATTTACTAGGCGCAAACAGTTTTACTTAAAGAGTTGATGCAAATTGCTTGCATGTTAGTCTTCTTGACAGCTAGATATCTAACAGATAAGTGGACTTGGACAAAGATAGATGGAAATTTGAGAATACTTGACACATTCACATGATAAGGAACTTAATATGTAATAGATTCACAATTATATATTTATACAACTGGTTTGTGAGACATCTGGCTGCGATGATTTTATGTTACCCCATACATTTACTCGTGAAGTTAAATTGTATAAGAGTGTTTATTAATGTAAGTATTATTTTGTTTCAGATTACGTGAAACGGATTATTTTATTACATATGAGGTAAGGTTATATATATTTAAATATGGATACAAATAATATTATATGTATATGAAATTATATACGAGCGTGTTGACGCGTATTTATAACATTTTCGACTCAACGTTATCGCTGGCGTCAGTCCAGTGGTTAGAATACGGTTCGTAGCGCGACGGCCGCGGGTTCGATCCTGGGTTATTACTTGTTGGCTTAATCGAAGCTCTCATATTTTTCTTATAAATATGGTAGTCAAACAAAGCCTATAGCAAAGATCTCCATCGGTCGCGGTCTAGGTAAATGATACCTTCAACGTATCACCAAGGAGGTCGACAGTTTT